ATCCCAATCTCCGTTCCCATTTGTCCCTGTGGGATTCATTCCCAAATCCCAATCTCCATTCCCTTTTATCCCTGTGGGATTCATTCCCAAATCCCGGCCCCCATTCCCCTTTATCCCTGTGGGATTCATTCCCGAATCCCAATCCCCATTCCCTTTTATCCCTGTGGGATTCATTCCCAAATCCCGGCCCCCATTCCCTTTTATCCCTGTGGGATTCATTCCCGAATCCCGGTCCCCATTTCCTTCACCTCCACAACATTCCCGAATCCTGGGACACAATTCCCCACATCCCGGTGGGATTCATTCCCAAATCCCAATCTCCGTTCCCCTTTATCCCTGTGGGATTCATTCCCAAATCCCAATCTCCGTTCCCCTTTATCCCGGTGGGATTCATTCCCAAATCCCAATCTCCGTTCCCTTTTATCCCTGCGGGATTCATTCCCAAATCCCAATCCCCATTCCCCTTTATCCCTGTGGGATTCATTCCCAAATCCCAATCCCCATTCCCCTTTATCCCTGCGGAATTCATTCCCGAATCCTGGTCCCCATTTCCTTCACCTCCACAACATTCCCGAATCCTGGGACACAATTCCCCACATCCCTGCGGGATTCATTCCCAAACCCCAGGCCGCCTTTCCCTCAATCCCCACGGCATTCCCAGTATCCCAGCCCCCATTCCCAGTATCCCAGTCCCCATTCCCAGTATCCTGGCTCCCATTCCCTGTGGCATTCCCAGTATCCCAGTATCCCATTCCCTGCATCCCAGACTCTCCCAAATTCACCGTTTTCCTCTGGCTGCTGAGGCAGAAGGTGCCGATCTGCCCTGCCTGGGCATCCCGCAATTCCCAAATCCCCCATTCCCAAATCCCTCTCCCCATTCCCTCTATCTCTGCGGCATTCCCGATATCCTGCTCGCCATTCCCAGTATTCCTGCTATCCCAGTCCCCATTCCCTCTGTCCCAAACTCACAATTTTCTGCTGGTTGCTAAATCAGAAGGCGCCGAACTGCCGGGGCTGGGAATCCCAGGATTCCCAAATCCC